AACTGCAGAGGCATTTTCCTGATGCTAATTGGTGTAGGAGAGCCTAGGCTGCTAAGGGTGGTGCCATCCCGTGGCAGGTGGGCCTGGGCTGTATAATAAAGGTAGTGGAGCAAGTGAAGGGGCAGTAAGCAGTACATCCCCAAGGCCTCTGCTTCAGCTCCTGACTCCAGGATCCTGCCTTGACTTTACTTAGTGATGGGCTATAAATTATAAGCTGACATAAATACCACCCCCAAGTTGCTTTTCTTCATGGGTATTTTATCATAGCAATAGAAGCGGAACTAGGACATGGTACAAGACTCACATGTAGTTTCAAATTGGGTGCCTTCCTTTATTCAGTAAGTCTCAAATGCACATTTATCTTAACAATCGCTAGATGCTGGAAATAGCAACTTTTCTGATGATGATCATCTTGGGTTAACTGGGAAAGGGAAGGTTAACAGAAGAGAGAACGATGTAGACGTACAGAGGAGAAGATGGGAGGACGGAGACCAGAGTAATAGGTAGGTACCGGGAACCAGAGCAGTGCTGGGACCATCTGAGGATGTGTGGTCTTCGTTTTGAACTTCAGGTCTTCAGAACTACAAGAAGCCAACACGCTCTTGTTTTAGCCACTTTGTTGTTGACAGTTTGTTGTGGCAGCCTTAGGAAAGGGCACTGATTTTATATTAGTTTTCAGATTTTATATTAATTTGTTACGTCTACCATAACAAATGACCCACTTAGCTTAAAACAACAGCAATTTATTTTCTCACAGATCTGGAGCCCAGAAGTTGAAATGAAGGCATTGGCAGAACCATGCTCCCTGGAGACTCTCTGGAAGGATCTGTTCCATGGCTTTCTAGCTCCTGGTGGCATTTGGCATTCCTTGGCTTTCTGGGTCTGTGGCCACATGGCTCAGCCACAGTCATCTTGGCCTCTGTTTTCATCTTCTCTCTGGGTGTCTTCCCCTCTGTGTGTCCATGTTAGTTTAAAGGGTTGACCTTCCATGATGGAAGTGGCTCAAATGAATCAGCCTGCTATCAGGCTGACCACCCCAGGTGAATACAACCATATTGGAGGTTGGGTTGATCTCTACTGTTGGCAGATTGGACAGGCGGAAGGGAGGAGGGCAGCCTAGCTGAACAGAAATCCATGTTTCTGAGGTCATCCATACATCTTTACTATGGTGGTCACTTGCCACCTGAGCTCTTGGACAATGACAGGAGTAGGTTGGGGAAGAGGCTGCTGGGAACTCATAGAATGGGCCCTCATACCTTGACTATTGTGTTGGTTAGTTCTGGTTAACTTGACACAAGCTAGGCTCACCTAGGAAGAGGGAATGTCAATAGAAGAATAGCCTCCATCAGATTGGTCTGTGGAGATATCTGTGGAGACATTTTCCTGATTGCTAATTGATATAAGAGAGCCTAGCCTACTAAGGGCAGTATCCTCCTTTGGCAGGTGGGCCTGGGCCCTATAATAAAGGTAGTGGAGCCAGTAAAGGGGGGCAGCCAGTAAGAAGCACTTCTCCAAGGCCTCTGCTTTAGCTCCTGCCTCTGGGTTCCTGCCTTGAGTACATGCCCTGACCTCTTCTAGTGAAGTAAACATCCTAGGAGTTGTAAACGGAAATAAACCCTTTCCCTTAGGTTGATTTTGGTCATGGTTTTATCCCAGCAACAGAGACCTAATTAGGACAGAAGCCCATGGCTTACTCTACTCATTTCTAGTGCTTGTCACTCTCCTGTGGCCCTCTCCTGAATTTTTGTGGGCTGCTAATTATGTTTGCCACACTTGGGTAATTAAGAAATAATTACTTTTAAATGGCTAAGTAGTATTACATAGTTTTCTTTCTTGCATTGCTTTGTCTAACTGGTTCTTATTGCTCGATAAGATTGTTTTAAAAATTGAATTTTAAGTAAATGCACCACAAGACATATCTACATGTGTACGCCTTTTCCAACTTTATTAGCTTATTTATTAACTAGTTAATTTATTGTGCTAGGGTTGGAATCCATGACTTCATGAAGCATACTAGGCAAATGCTTGGCCACTGGGCTGTGCCCCAACTCAACTTAAAGAAATACGTTTTCTTTAGAAATACGTACAAGCAGTGGGGCAGACAAACAATTAAGGATGGATGTCATTTGCAATTTGCAGATATCATTGAGGGCAGTGGTTGTGTGTGTCCCTGTTTGCACATTGCTTGTTTCATGGCAGGTACTCAACATGAGTTGAATGACAGTGGGAATTTCAATGGAAGTGTATGGAAGATACTTTGTCGTTGCCCTGGATAATAATGGGATGTCTCTACCATCCTCCTTATCTTGGTCAGTAGTACTACTGTGCATTATTCCTGACTGCTTCCTCAGAGTTCTAGTCTTTCCTACTGGTTAAAAACTGAGCTGGTAGCTTATATAGTAGTATGCTTTGGTCAGACAGGAGATGGTCACTTTTGCCTGGGGATTCTCATAAGGTCCCTGTTGAGTGTTGGTAGGAGTTTTTGGCATATGAAGAATCTGTAGAGGCCTGAGGATCTGCTGCAAGTGACTTACTCATGAAGCTGCCACATGGTGCGGGCTACTGATGGAAGGTGCTGGTTCCTCCACACAGAGTTCTCTCCGTGGGGACCTGTGAAGGTCTTCAGAACATAGTGCTTCCAGACTCTCCATGAATAAGCAGTCTAAGAAAACCGGGTGAAGAGTGTCAGCATCATTGTCAGCCCCACTGTGGAGGTGGCTGGTGGGATTGCATTGATTGCCTTGAATTGCACAGGGCCCCATGGCCAGAATGCAAGGACCCCTGGGGGTTGTGTCGAGACTGACTTCCACAGTATCTCCCTTCCATACTTCATCCCAATTGCATGTTTTGTCCATTAGAAACATTTCACAAACTGAACATCTCTATTTCTAGTCTCTACCCAGTTTAGGAAGCTATTAGTTAATAGCCCCTGATAGCTTTTTACCTGGTTTATTCTTTGCTGGGCCTCAAGGATATGCTTATCTGTCTCTTTAATGTGTAAGATTCCTTCAAGTATCCCATTCTTCCCTGGATTCTCAGAGTGAGCACACAAGGATGAACCTTTGCCTGTAGAACTGCTTAGCTCTTGACTCAGTGGGGGGGTCTTTTAACTCTCATTTTAAAGTTGATTAGTGTATATTAGTTATATACACATATTATGTATTTAATTATGGCATTTTCACACATGTGTATAATATATTTTGATTATCCGTGCCCATTCCCATTACCCTCATAATGACTTCTTGCCACTGCTCTGGTCCAGTGTGGGGAAGAGATTTCCCAACATCTTCTGCCAGTGCAGCTGCTGTGGGTGTGGCTTTTATCACCCTTCCTTAATGTTCTTAAATGTTCTGCCGCTGAACATACAGTGTGAGTTTGATGAGACTTCCTCCTTGTCTTAAACTGTGATTCAAACCCTGCTCTCTTCCTCACTAGCCCTGGGAGGGGAGTGCACACAGTTAGGGCTGAGCCCTCTAGCATGCACTCTGGGTTCTTTCACCCATTCTGCTTTCCTAAATTTTCTTTCTCTTTTGCTACTTAGATTAGTGTTTTTCTTCCTTTGCCCTTCTATTAGGATAGCTGATGTCTAAGTATCCCTGTCCCCTACCCCCATGGAGACAGTCTAGCAGTCCAAGTGTCCTATTTTCATTTCTGTTGCTGTGATAAAATGCCCCGGCAAAAGCAATGTACAAGTCCAGGCTATAGTCCATCATTATGAGGAAGTTAAGCCAGAAACTTCAAACAGATAGCCATTGTCACACCCACAGTCAAGAACAGAGAGAAATGAATGCATATATGCTTGCTTGCTTCTGCTCACCTTGGTTTCTCCACTCATACACATGCCTAGGGAATGGGGCTGCCCACAGTGGACAGAGCCTTCCCATATCCATTAATTAAGACAGCCCCCCCCAGGCATGTACATGGGTCAATTCAATGTAGATAACACCCTATTGAGACTTTCTAGGTGGTTCTAAGTTGACAAAGGTAACCATCACACCATCTTGGGTATCATTTGCCGTTCTCTCCTTTCCCAGTATATTTTTCATACAGAACTTGTTCGTTAGTTTTAATACTAACAAATTCACAGATATTTACTACACACTTGCTATCTGGAAGGTTTGTTCTAGGTTATTTAAAAACGGTGAAATAAATAGTTCTTGGGGGTTATACACGTAGGTAAATAAATAATACAGAAAGTATTAGGTGATAAGATATGAGACAAGAAACATTATCAGGAAAAATAGAAAACAACTCAAGGTAGGGACTGTGAGTACTGCATTTCATAGGGCTGTCTTAGTTTCTGTCTGTCACCTTGGAGTAGAAACACAAGGTGTGGCCTCAAGAGTGAGATGTGACTGGTCACATTGAATGTGCAGTTGGGAAGCAGAGAAATGTATGCTGCTGCTGTTGGCTTTCTTCTTTTAATCTGGTTTGAGACCATGACCCCATAGAATGGTACAGACATTTAAGGCAGGTCTTCCTCTCTCCCTCTGTCAACCTGATCTAGATCTTCCCTGGAGATGTCCCTGGAGGTTTGTTTCCATGGTGATTCTAAATTGCATCAATGCTGCAATCAAGATTTAAATATCGCATAGAAGAAGCAAGAGAAGTAGGAAGCAGTCCTCTTCTTTTTCTTTGTCATTTCTAACACCTTCATCATTATAGTTTCTGAGTCAGAACCGAATTAAGAATTTATGTGGGCTCAGCAAACCTGTAGGTCATCAAAAGTAGATATCACAAGCTAACAGAGATCAGTGGTCCTCAAGTACTTACCAGTTACTAGTGGGAAACTAGATATGAGCAGCCCAAGTGGGCTTGGAGTCTTTGGGTAGTGCAAACAATACTGGAACACCTTTTATTCAGCTTTCCTAACATAAAGCCTGCTCAATCCCTTTGGATAGGAGATTGGTTACCTCTTAAAAGATCCTGGGATACTTTCCTGTTGAGATGCCTTCCGTTCCATGAACCTCAAATTGATTTATCTTTCCTGGATGATTTAGATTGGACGACTGATTATTGGGCAGAATGGCATCTTGTCAACACCTGCTGTCTCCTGCATTATCAGGAAGATCAAGGCAGCTGGTGGGATCATCCTCACAGCCAGCCACTGTCCTGGAGGACCAGGGGGAGAGTTTGGAGTGAAGTTTAATGTTGCCAATGGAGGTATGTGGTTCTGGCTATGACTTACTTGATTTCTTTCCTCATGTATTATCATACTCTATGATGGTAAAGAGGCAAAGCGGAGAGGAATCTGTTAAAGGAAGTTTTTTCTTTGAGAGAAGCTTTCCCGCCCGCCTGGTTCTAGATCCGCATCAGTCCCAAATAAACACACAGGAGGCTATATTAATTATGAAGCTGTTGGCCTTGCTTGTTTCTTACTGGCTACCTCTGACTTAAGTAATTACCCCATAATTGTTAATCTAAGTATTTCTCTTACCGGAGAATGGTTCCGGGCTTCCTACCCCCATGGCATTACATCTTGACTCCCCTGTGTTTCTCCTTCCCAGAGTCCTCCTGGACTCCTAGTCCCTCCTATCTAGATTCCCTATAGGCCAGACAGTGCTTTATTGACAAATGCACAGGACTTCCCCAACAAGAATCAGCTCAGAAAAATTTGGTGAGGTACCCAAGGTGATATGATCCCAAGGAAGTAACATATGTCCCCTCAGATGCTCAGGGCTGGTCTATTGATCTCCTCTGTGCTTCAGCCAAGTGAAAGACTGGACAGTTGATTCATAATTGATACAGGAGGTCTCTGTATTTCAAAGTTATTACAGACCCCAAAGGGCATTTAAAATATCCTTTTCATCTTGCAAAGAAACTGAATTACTTTGAAAGGTCACAAGGCTGCTTAGAGACAGATAAATGATTTTTAGCCTAAGTCTCGATGTCATTGTAGACTTTCTCTCACTATATACATAGAGGGGGAGTTATTTCATTTGTTCATAAAATTTATAGAAATGTATAGTCTGGAGCCCTAGTGAGCAGTGAGATGAATTACTTTAGAAAACAGAATGTACAAAAAAGTAGGGAGAGTGATAAATGGACTCTAGGTATACATTACTGTGCTTTTCTCATTGTGGTAATCATTTGAACACTTGGGATGTTGTAAGGCCATGTCAAGACGGTGATAGTGCACCTGTACAGGCTGCATCTTGATAGCATCCATTTGACTCATAATGAAAGCCATCAGTTTACTGAAAAGAAAAGGTCCTAGCAATAGGAGAATTAGTAAGCCAAACAGGAGGACTAATAAGGGAAGAAGATAGGGCAGAAGTCCTCTCCAAGCACTCCAAATGGGCTGATCAAACAATTCTCTGTGGTGTTTCTTGAGCTCCTACTGGTGTTTTTTTTTTTTGTTTTGTTTTTATTTTATGAGACAGGGTTTCTCTCTATTGTTTTGGAGGCTGTTGGTCCAGCCTGGCCTCGAACTCACAGAGATCTGCCTGACTCTGCCTCCTGAGTGCTGGGATTAAAGGCGTGCGCCACCACTGCGCGGCTCCTACTGGTGTTTTTGATTCGGTCTTGAACAATGCCTGATTTATTGGCATAAAAGCAGCATTTTTCCTGTAAAGTCGAACAAATGCCTCCCTTGTCTGCTGTAAGCAAATCTAGGCCTCTCCTATTCTGCAGAACTACCTCTGCTAGGGAGTCAACTTAGGTCCTGAAGGTCCTAAGCTGACCTGTGCATAGTCTGTACATCATCAGCAAGTTGCTGAGATAGCTTGGAATATATTTGTATAGCTACTCCCACACCTGCAGAGCCAGTGGCTAAGGCTCCCAATACTTCAAGTCCAACTAACATGGGAATGAATTGGATGGCCCTCTTATGCCTGGGAATAAAATAATCTATGCTAGGTATTGGAATGGGCTCACTCCCTGGTATAAATTCTATATTTGGAAGAAGGGTGGCTAATACACATAACCCTGTCCAATTGGCAGGCAGCATGGAGTAAGCCATTCCGTTTCCACACACCAAAACTTGTCCAGGCTCAGGACAAAGAGTTGTGGATACATTAATTACTGAAGAGCATGAGGTAAATGATGCTTGTCTTACATCTATATCAAAGCTATTATTTTTAAAATGTTTATAAAAGCATAAGTAATGATTAAATCCTGTGGGTTGTATCTTAAAAGGAATGCTAAGCAAACAATTATTACCTTGCAGGGAACCATCAATAGGTACTGAGAAATTTTGTAACACTGGAATTGCCAGAGGCCATGAGATTCCAAGGTCAAACATAACCAGCAATCCCTTGCCAGATGGGGATTAGTAATATTTAAAGCATAATGGGTAGCAGACAATATCTCCGAGGTTTGAAGATCAATATCCATGCCTTTAGACTTTGCAAGTAATAATGGGTGATAATCTATATGAGGAATCATGGAGTAAATTATATGTTGAATCTCTTCTTGGACCTTGGCTTCTCTAACCATATCTGTTGGGCCTCCATCAGAAACATGAATGGGAGCTACCTTGTTTCAGCATGCTGGCTTTCCTGGAGCAGGTCGGCAGGAGGCTGCAGCATATTTATAATTGCCAAGCACCTGGGGATTAATAGACAAATCTCCTCCAACATTGCCAGAATAAGTTCTTAAGGGTATGACAGTAAAATAAGTAAGGCCATTATATGTGCATTCTTGGAATGTGCTGTAGCACATAGCATTCATTTGGTCCACAAAATTGCATCCTACTGGACATGGTCCTGGTTGTCCATTGACCTATAGTCTCTAAGAGCGGTACTAAACGGGCAATATAGGCACTGTCAGCATAAATGTTAAGTGATTGATTTGGAAAGGCACTAAAGGCACCTATAACAGCATATAATTCTGTTAGTTGGGCAGATGAGGCCCCAGTTTGAAAACTAATAACCTCATCATTCCAAGCATAAGCAGCTATCCCTTTGGAGGAGCCATCAGTAAACACAGTTAATGTACCTGGTATAGGATCTAGGAGAGTATTTTTGGAAAAATAAATTCTTGACTATTGGCAAAATCAATTAGCTTATTAGGGGGATAGTGGTTATCTGTGTTTCCTATGTAATTGGCCAAGGCTACAGGCCAGCTTTCTGTTGTTTGCATAAGCCAATCAACCTGTTCCTTGGTATAAGGTTGAATAATAAGGCTTGCCTCATGGCCAAAATAAGACTTGGCCTGCTTCCTACCTATAAGAATAATATCTGAGACCAATTGAAAATAGGGATTTAGCACCCTTTTTGGGCTGACTGGTAAATTAAACCATAATGTGGGAACAGATTGCAAAAAAACTGCCGTTGGAGACTGAGCTATTTTGCAAATAATGAACCACAAGGGGCGATTGTAATCAAGAAAAATAACTGTTTGAGACTGTATGGCTTGTTCCACCAAAGTTATTGTCTTGCGGCCTTCAGGTGAAAGTTGACGAGGTGAGGTGGAATCTGAATTACCCAGGAGAATGTCATCAAGGGGCTTTAATTCATCTTTGCTAATTTTTAAATAAGGTAGTAGCCAATTAATATCTCCCAATAATTTTTGAAAATCATTAGGGGTATGAAGCCTACCTAATCGCAAAGTAATTTTTTAGATAAAATTTTATCTTCAAACATTTGAAAACCTAAATAAGTAAAGGGATCTTTGAGTTGTACTTTTTCTGGTGCTATCTGTAATCCCCTTTTTGTTAGAGCATCATATAATTCTTTTTTTTTAAAGATTTGTTCATTTATGATGTATACAGTGTTCTCTCTGCATGCATGCCTGCAGGCCAGACAAGGGCATCAGATCTCATTATAGATGGTTGTGAGCCGCCATGTGGGTGCTGGGATTTGAACCTGGGTCCTGTGGAAGAGCAGCCAGTGCTCTTAACTGCTGAGCCATCTCTCCAGCTCCAATATAACTCTTTAATAACAGGATAATATGTCTTTCCCCTTTTGTCCTGCTAAAAGGATATCATCCATATAATGTATAATATACATCTGTGGCTATGAGTCCCTAACTGCTTGGATGGCAGATGCTACAAAAGATTGGCAAAGTGTGGGACTATTAGCCATGCCTTGGGGAGAACATGCCATTGATACCAGTGCATGGGTGCTTGAAAAGCAAAGCGTTTTTGATTATCTAGATGTAAGGGTATAGTAAAAAAATCAATCTTTGAGTTTTGTGGGCAGTTTTTTGAAAAATGGCCTGACTCACCTCAGCTAAAATATTTGTTTTTGCCCTGATTAGACAAGAACTGTCTAACAGTAGTGCCTTGTAAAGCAGCTGCCATGGCAAGTCCTTGTTGATAAACTTTACCTACCTCAGCACAGAGGCAAATGTAGCCAAAAGTTCTATTTTTTTAATGATATGGTCGAATAGCTGCTTGGTAGGCAGAATTAGCATTTTCAAAAGCCTGAATTAGCATTTCCAAAAATCCTACCTGCTGCTGTTAGCAAGCAGTGGACAAAGTCTGAAAAAGGCTCATCAGACCCTTGTTTAATCTTAGTAAGGGAAGAGCTCATGTCCCCTGTAGCAGGTAGTCTCTTCCAGGCTTTGGTGGCAGCTGTTTGAATTTGGGCAAATAGTCCAGGTTCATATTGCATTTGAACTTCCTCTGCCTCATAATTTCCTTCCCCCATTAACATATCTGCATTCCAGTTATTGCCTGCCTGGGCATTTCTTTTTGCAGTTTCTGTACAAGCTTCTGTAAACTCTGACTTCCATAAAAGATAATCTCCCCCCTGCCATGGTTGCTCTAGTTAAAGTGCACCAGTCGGATGGAGTAAGCCAATTGTTTGCCACAGATTATATGATGGCAGTGGTATAAGGAGCCATAGCTCCATATTGAGAGACTGCAGTTTTGATTTCTTTGATTACATTGAAATTGAAACCTGCATGATGTCACCAGGCAGTGCTTTGTGCATCTGTTGTCTCAGTTACTGGAAAAGTAGTCATATTCTCTGATTCTGTCTGATGTTGGTGGGTAACAGGTGTCTTAAGGGCAGCCCCCCTGAGAGGTGGCTTGGCAACACCTTTCTGAGAGGTGTTGGTGAACTTGCCTGCTTTCAAACTCTCTAACTGGGTAATCAGGTCTTAATGTTCTGTTTCTAATCGAATCTGCTCTTTAAGATATTGAATTTTGTCCTGTAGCTCTTTTTGAGGGTTTAAAACTGGGCAAGCCAGAGAGGGGGCTATTGGAGGAGGCATAT